AGCAGGAATTTCTCTAGTCATCAATGCTGCAATGATAGTTTTAAAACTATTATTTACATACTACTAGGGGGGTGGAAATGAGGGTCCCGTAAATCACACCTAGCAGCTGATGCTAGCTACAAGGAGAATAGGTATTTCAGTCCTGTTCTCTGCTTGACACAGAGCTGCCTGCTTTCCTTGCCACATGAGAGAGGCAAGCACTGCTAATGTCTTGTTGCAGAAACAAAAACTAAAGCACGTATTGGGTAAGCTGCCAGCCCACAGGCATTAGCGGGAGTGAAGAACAGCTGGAGAGAGTGCTTCTCCCAGTATCTTGTACCATACCTCAGCCCATCCCAGGCTAGAGCTTTGTACCTATTACCCTTGCCCAAACTAATGTCTTGGCACATAGTGGCTGTCTGAGAAATCTTGTTTTGGCATTAACTATCTTCCCCAACCCAGCAGAAACCTCCTCTGTTGAAAGCTTGAGATAGGTCTTGTTCATGGTTACATGTCTCTTGCTTTGAAGTCAAAGCTGCTATAGGTATGGAATAAAGTCTAAGGACAAAAGGGACCTCTTGTGTAAGTATACAAGAAGTTTTCAAAATGACAATTATTTCCACTGTCAGGAGTAAAAGCAGAAGTTGTTACTGGTATTGGAGGTTACTGATCCTGAAGAATCAAAATATAGAATAGTTCCACCCAGAGTTTAAATAATGTTGATATTTCTGATTATTAACATCTTTTATAACTTTTCAGTAGTTAAACAGCAAAGCCTATGGCATTAGCCATGTAATAGCAGATTCCCATGAAAGATTCATGTCATTAGCCGTAACAACACATAACTTGTCTTTAACAGATAATTGATGCACATTTGTCAAAATCTGTAAGAAAGAAAATTGCGTTGATGTGATGGTACTGGGAGTGCTGGTATTGGAGAAACCAACAGGCTTCATTGCCTGACTGATGGGAGCAGTACAAGAAGCAAAGCAGAGCAGAACTGCTGTTTTGTTGCTCTGTCCTAGCATTTCGTTCAGTTTTAACGACACGGATTGAATTTAATCTCAAAGCCTTTGTTATCATTGCATCTCTTGTGCCACTAGTCCCAAAATACTATGTAAATCTGAAAATGTTATTCCAGATTTTGAGAAAAGTCCTCTTAAATTCAAACCAGGTCAGACCAGTAAGCCTTATAGGATTCTCTTTCATCTTCACTTTATCCTTAAAACCCAAGTTTTAGGTCAGAAACATCTTTGTGTGGTGGTCAAGAAATATCTAAATTAGTAATTTTCTTTTTCTCTAGCCTGTTTTGCCTTCCTCATTGGAAGACTGTCCAGTCTGGATAGCTGTGAATGAAGACGGTATCAGCATACTGGATTATAACACTATGGTATGGTGAGGAATACTGTTTAAGAAAAATAACCTACCTCCCACAGAAAGACATTCCCCTGAGTCTGCTTAAAGTCACTAAAAGTTTGTCTTTAACTTCAAATGGATCCAGAAGTTAATTTGTAGAAGTGAGAGACGAGGGAAGTCAGTGCTGTGTTTGAACACTACATAAACAAAGGAAAATTACAGCTACAGTGTAAGGTAGGGTTTCATCAAACAGCTAACCACCTCTTCGATGGGCAGCAAACATGCTCATACATCTTGCAGAATCTTGGTGGTATGTGCTTTACTACCACTATCTAGGATATAACAAAGTTTGGACTATTGCTGTGAAGTGGTGAGACATTGAGCAAGCTAGGAGAAAACTAGAAGTGCAGTTCTTACTTGATCTTTCTTTGCCAGCTGTTACCTATAAAGCCAATTACCTATACTGCCTATTACTTCTGGAGAGCTGGTGTTCTTGCAGTAAGTAGCAAATCTATTGGTTTAAGGTGGCCATTTTTTCTTTTACAGAACTATGACTCTTTCAAACTCTCTGTTGTCTGCAGCACTTGAAGGTCTCTTATTCATACTCCTCTGTGCTGACCTTTGGAGGCTATCGAGATGACTTCATGATTGTAGTCAGTCAAATGAAAGAAAGGAGTTCTGGAAAAAACAACACTGAAAAACTCCTTTTCACAATGGCAATTCCAAAGGTAATTAGAAAATGAACAGTGAGTTGCTTTCCAGCTGGCAGCATCACAGGTGGGGGCGTTTTGTACAAGCCCTGGGGACTGGTACTTGTGGCTGCTGCGCGAGCTGTATACATTCAATAAATCCCTTGTAAGCTGGAACCTTTAATCAAGAGACTTACTCTACCCAACTCTTAAAGGCAGACCTTCATTTCCAAACCGAACAATTCCATGTGAGAAAGCCGTTTGTGTAAATTATGCAGTCAAGAGGTTCTAAAAATCAAAGGGCACTCTTACCTCTAATTGACTTACAGTTAATAATTTTCTTTTTTCCCTAGATTGTTGAAGCAACACTTCTTATTGCCAGCTATATTAACTACCGTTCAACACCTTCACTCCTATCTTCTACACAGCCCTCCCGAAACAAAACACCTGCTAACAAGCTCTGGGAGACTGAAAGTCGGTCCTTTTTTCCTTCTGTGCCCCGAAGCACTAAGGGGCCCACCCTGCTCTGAGGGCTCATTCCAAATGACTTTGGGGATTTTGGGGTTTTGGGATTTTTTTGTTTGTTTGGGTGTCTTTGTTTTTTGTGTGTGTGGTTTTTTTTTTTTACTGCTCTGTACTGAATTGCAGACTGCTATGATTTTGCTGGTTACACACCTTACTTTAATGCAGACTGATTCTTTTTTCCATAATAACAGACAAAGTTCCTTAGAGTGGGTAGAGGCAGTGTCCTTTCTCTTTAAGAAACTGTTGATTTCAGGACTGCGCAGGAGTTTTCTTTCCACGCCATACTCCATCCAAAATACCATGCCTCAGGTCATTTGCCTGTACAGTGCTCCAGTCCCATTCCATCTATTCTTTCTTTGTACCCATTCTTCTTCCATCTCTTGATCTTACTGCTTTGCTTACAAGCACATATGTTTTCTTTGATTCCTCCTATTTTCAGCTTTGCACCTGCCTTTAGATCACTGCACACACACCCTGTGTCTGGAATCTCAGTCCAGGTCTTACAACTCCTAGTGACCTCTTTTGCTCGTCATAGCCCCTTTCAGTTATTATCATTATTTCCAATCATCTTCTGTTTGCATCAATCCCTATCTTGCTCACTTTTTACCTGAATTAGACTGCAGCCTCTGCAAGGCAGACTTGAGTGGTGTGTAGGCTTGAATCTGATTGCAGTGGGCTGAACACAGAGTCCTATTAAAAGTAAAAACAGGTAGTAATGGATACAGTGACATGAACTCTGTAGAAGGATGCATCCTGCTGAATACTGCCTGTATTAGGAGCTGCATATCACTGTATTATAAACCAGATTTACACTCTGGTCATAGCCTTTTCAGTGTATAGATTAACAGTAGTTAATTAAAGTCTGATCAGGTAGTTTAGACATAACTGCAGCTCTATGCTCTGGTTGCAAATAGTCACCACATTAGAAGTTACCACTCCCAGAACAACTATTCAGACAGTCTTTTTGCAGAGACTAGAATAGTTTTTATGCAACTGCTTAACACAACCAAAAGGACAACTGAATTTTCCCTAGAGCTATAACAGCTCCTCCCTGAAACTGATGCTAAAATTGAAAGACAGAAACTTTCTAAGTCCTTGCTCCAGATGTGAAAGAGAAAGAAGACTGTGTTGAGAAAGAAGAGGAACTAAACTGACAAGAATAATTCCAATGCAAGTCAAGGGTAATTTCAGACCTAAAAGAGTATAGAATAAGGGTTCAGTGGTACTCAGGAATACTTTCAACTTTATATAAAGGTGGAAACCTAGTGTCTTTGCATGTTGGGGACTCGGAATGACTGGGACTGGAACAGTGTCAGATCACGCCCTAGCTCCTACAGAACTGATGCATTTTGGGAGCTGACGCTGTTCTACATAATAGATGAACATTAGATCTCTGCTGCAGTGCTGCAAGTGTCACTTGCTCCACTGTCAGACAAGCACTTTCAAAGACTCTTTCTGTTGATCACTGTTGTAGATGTTTCAGGATATGTTTGAAACGCAGACAAAGGAAGACAAGGCAAGCAAATTTGGTACCTCTTCTGTCTTTCAGCAACTGGAACCGATCTTCCTAAACCAGCTCTGCCATTCTGACTTGACAGAAGCTGCTCATTTCAAACTCCTGCTTCCTTCATGCTACCATAGCAAGGAGAAGGTAGTCAGCAAATGTGTACTCAAGTATTGTTCTTCTGACTTTCCTAAAGTTTTTGACTTTTTGATCTGTTTCAAAGGGACTTCATTATGATTGAGAAGATTCTTTTATTTCTTTAAAATCCATTAAAAATAGCAATTCTTCTTGAAAAATCTAAATCTACCTGGCTTGAGTTCAGCTGTTTTGATAAGCATTCTAAAAAAAAGTTAAGGAAGAATAACCGCACTTTCAAAAGTACCATGTGCAACTTTGTAATAATTATGCATTCACGGGCAACTTTCCCAAATTAAAATAGCGTGAATCCAACCATTAGAAAGAATTCAGCAATAGCAAACCAAAGCTATTTGCAAATGAACAAACCAACCATACCAGTGTTTTTACTCCCTAGTACCTGCCACCAACCTTGAAGCATCCAACTAATGCACACAGTGGAGTTGACAGTTCAAGAAGTTTTTATTTCACAGTTATGGTGGGTGCAAAGCCAGAAATTAAAAGAGAAGAGCATGGAACAGATTAAAAATCATTCTAAGCAATCCCTTATCAGCATCTTTGTAACACACAAAAACCCACGAACCCCAACCACCCCATGGTGGGTTGTGGAAACAATATGGCAGACATAAGACAGGAAAAGATTGTATGAACAGAGACCTGACTTGCACATGCTGTAATGTACCCACTTGTTATGAATTTAAGGACTGTCCCTTGAAGTTACAGAAAAGGGTAGAAGCTTTCTGAGAAGGTATTGAGTCTTTTTTTTCCTTAGATACTTTAAAGTGACTATATATCCTGGTAAGAGTGGTCAGTAGTATGTATTTCCTAGTATAGCTGTATCAGTTTGAATACAGAGCGTGTTATTCCTCCTCACTCAATCACCTGTGCCTAACAATTCCTCATGTGTCAAAAAGGTCTGTTTGGCAGCCTGCTTCTTGTGTCCCACCAGTAACAAAGCTGCTTCAGAATCAGCTGAGCTGTCATCATTGCTGGTGATGCTCAAGGCAGGAAGGTCTCTAGTTCACAGTTCAGATGCTGTACTTACCTTACAGTGCTAACACACATGTCCTAGGAGACTTGTACCATGGCAAACAGGAAGCAGAGATGTTGAATAAGCAATAGCTATCCTGAAGCTCATTATTTTCTGCCATAACCGCACTTTAAATTGAGAAGCATGGCATATAGAACTTGTTTTCTTCCTTATTTCTTAAAAATATTCACCAATACTTGAGTATTTCAGGGACCACTCCACTATGATAGATGCACATATACCTCCTATTTATACCTTACCTGACTTCAACCAACCAACCATCCCTGTGTAGATACCTATTTTGTATGATTCTTTGGTAGAGAAAACAATTTTTATTTTAATCGGTGCTTTTGGCAATGACTTGCTGCAGCATAGAATGAGATGACAAAAGCCTTTGTTTTCTTAACCGCTGTATATATGTAAAAGGCTGTCTGGAGATACTGTGAGATTTCTGTGTGTTCTTAATAAAATGCAGTTATCATGAATTAAACTGTATTATTTTCAGAATGAAACTATTTTAAAAGCCAAACTAGTCTTGATGTAAAGAAAACTGGACAAAGACTGTGTTTGCACATACCTGGTGCAAACCTGCCCTAGTCTAATTCCTTGTTTCTCTCTGCTGATCTTCTCTCAGCTTTAGCGGACGACTAAAGTGCACTCCCATGGGCACAGGATGTTTACTCCTTCAAAAGATGGCTAAAACAATCTTCCAGACTCCCTCCTGTGACACAGTTACTTGGTCATTTCCCCAGTGCACGTTCTCAGGACTTTGTGGGCTTTTTGCAGCATAGTCAATATTCTCAGGACACTCTTAAGCGCAAGACTCTGCTCTGCTGAGATGTAATTTATTTTCTGAAACGTTCTCCCCATGTCTCAGCAAATCTTCCTGCTGCTATAATGCTCCTCAAAGCCCTTGACCACTTCTCCTCCCTGTGAAGAAACAAAACCTGACCAGATCACACTCTGAGCCATAGGCAACTCAAGTACACCACATACTGCATGGTTCTTAGTCAAAGGACCTCCGCTGTAGTCATTTACACAGTCACAGTCACAGGGCCTGCCACTGTTGTTAATAGCCAATTTCTGCCCCTGCCCCAAGACCTGCCCTTCCCAGTTCTGCCTGGACTTGCAACCAAACACAGTTTGCACCAGGGTGCAGCTTCACTAACTTCAGAGAGACCTACCAACTTACATTAGGGCAGCACTGGAATTAAAAATCTGGCCAACTCTAACATTTAAAGTATTTATGAGAAATAAAACCATAAAAAATGAAGTAACCTAGACAATGTTACCCAAAAGCCAGTGGCACATCCCCAAGCTGCTGCCTTTCACTTCGACAGCCAGAATACTACCCGTGACAGGAGCTAACCTGTGTCTCAAACTTTATAGCACTGTGAGAAAAAAAAAAAAAAGTCACACACACCTTATCTCTACTCTATTGCCACATGTTTTAATTACAGATTTTGTAGACAACCATAGTACAGCATTGTTTGCAAATTAAGCGTAACCCCTAGGCTTCTGCCAACTTGCTGGTTTAGCTCTTGTTTTGACATTTCAATCATCTCAGTTACATTACTAAGGAGTCATGGGAAAAAAAGAGAGAAAAATACCAGTTAAAGGTTACAGTGACTTTTAGCTCATTGACAAAGAAGAATTTCCCAACCTTAAGTTACCCCCAAGAGCACAGATCAATAAAACTTTATTCACATAGGCATTACCATCATTTTCAACAGCACATTTTCCTCATTCTCAGAGCAACTGATGTGGGCCTATTAATGCCACATCTTTCCCATGCCCTGTGTCGCCATGCCCCTGCCCCATTCAGCAATGGGTCCACATTTTCCCTGTTTTCCTTTTGTTACTTATGTACTTACAGAAGCCCTTCTTGTTGCCTTTGACATCCCTCAACAGATTCAACTCCAGGTGGGCTTTGGCCTTCCTAACTGCATCTTGGACAGTGTTGCTGCATTCCTCCCAGGTTACCTGTCCCTGCTTCCCCCGTCTGTATCCTTCCTTTCTGTGTTTGAGTTTTGCCAGGAGGAACTTGTGCATCCATACAGGCTTCCTGGCATTTCTGCTCATTGGGAAGGACTGTTCTTGAGCTTCAAGGAGGTGATCTTTGACTATCAATCAGCTTTCTTGGACCCCTCTTCCCTCCAGGGCCCCGTCCCATAGGACTCTTTGAAGCAGATCCCTGAAGAAGTCAAAGTCTGCTCTCCTATGTTGTATTTCATTAAATATAATTGAATGTGACAGTATATTTTAATTTTCTGTTATTTTCTTTCTGAAATTCTCCTGTGGATCAGGAAGTTAACCATCCCAGCCCACACATCAGTTTTGGTATTTAGAGTGGTATATGCTT